ATCTTCATTTTCGTGTTAGCACTGCTTCTTTTGTTACAACAGGTGGCAGTGTAAGATAACTTGTGCATATTAAAACTCATAGAGCCAAGGCCAATAACAGCCAGGCTCCCAGGTTGACCTGTGATCTTGGAAGGGTTGAGATGTTCCTGTAACTCTGTGTGTGTGATATCTGGAGATTTCATGTGTCAGAAATACCTGCACAGCTCCAATATTGCCTGCACTAACCTGCATATGCAGGTAGTATTTTGAGCCCTGTATATGATGAATATTGGTCATCCTAGCAAATCATAAACCATCCTTCTGAAAAGTTCAACGGGGCGCGTGAATCCCACGTTAAGTTGACATTTAGATATTGTGATATTTTGAGCCCTGACATCCCTTTGCTTGTTCTAGTTGATGCGGGCCATGGACAGTAAACTGGAGTTGAAGGGAGACCCTCTACCCCAGGACCTGTGTGAAGGGGTGGATGATGATGAATGGGTGAGTAACGCGATCAGGAAAACAAGGAATAATTCTTTGTTAGAGGTCAGGATGAAGGTCGCTATGATTAATGTGACCGGGAGTAGGGAAGTGGGTCATCGGGGAGAGAGGATGATCTATGGACCGATACATTGTGTTTAGGCACTAAAAATTATTCTCCACTGGGCCACTTTCTCCACTCCACCCTGCTTTTGTAATCATACTTGATTGCTACCTTAAGCACATCACAAGTAATTTGTTACCATGCACCGACAAATTTGTATTCCGGGGAGGTAGAGTGCCTTGCACCAAGTTACTAAGCTTATGCCCCAGGTAAGAGTAGTACTGATAAGAACGTACTGCGCCTGGACAAAACCCATAATGTATTGTGCATAGCGCTTGTCTCATTTAAGGTTGCATTTGCATATTTAAGGATGATATTCTGCCTATAGTTTACAAATGCTGTGTCAGAAAAGATGTCATCGGCAACTGTTACAGGTAAAATTCTGATATACGATGCAACATTGACAAAAAAGAAAACTGTGAAAACCTGAGTTTTGCACAGGCACAGTACATTCTGCCAATGTGCTATACTGATTGCGATTGTTACATCAGGCAGTTGTGATGATGTTGAGCTGTGATATCCTTCTCTCCCTCCTCTCTCACCACAGGATGATTGATCACAGCACAGAGATCTCCCAACCTCCGAGCCATCAGGGATTGGGATCACCCGCCACGGGGGGAAAGATGCAGGAATCAATTGACTCTTCATACCTGCACCTCAGCCGTGGCTGTGGCAGAGTTTGCACAATTATGTGAGCAGAGGGAGAAAAGGTCTCTGATGGAGCGGAATCCTCCCCGCTTGAGCGCTGTTAAATTGGTTGATATTTAAGGAAAGAGCAATTCTACTCTGTACACCTGGGCTTTGGGTGGAAAGAGTTTAGGCTGTGTGAGAAATATATCAAAACTGTAGTCTGTACAGTACAGTCAACTGTTTCTATAATGAGTGTTGTGAAAGTGGCAGGAATAAAATGTTTGAAGACAGAATAGTCCAAGACTCTACACTATGCATTGTTGAATTGGAAATTTTGAATATTTTAATGGTACATTATATTTTGAATGTAATGATTATGAAACAGTGAAATATATTCTCTGATGCAATGTAACCAACTTGGGTAGGGTAGAGTACTTTCTGAATTACTGGTATATAATGAATTACTAAATTTCGGAAATACAGTACCGTTCGCGTTATAGTTAACCGGGTACCCCGTTACTAACGAGTTATTTTTTCGTCAGAAAATGGTTAGAAAATCGTCA